CCAGGTCTGTGCTCAAGCAAGGCTGGGCGGGGCAGGTGGCAGCAGCGCTGTGAGGGGGGGGGGGGGGGGATTTTGGTGTGGCTGTAGCCACCCCACCAGCCTGAGCACAGCCTGGGACCAGGGCCCCCCCTGAGAAGCAGCTGGCAGCAGCCCCCAAACCTGAGCAGCAGCCCACCCTCATCCCATGTACAGATCTAGGGGGCACATGCCCTCCATGCCTCCCCCGGGAGGTGCACACAGCAGCGGGAGCTGCCCCTTCGCCCATGTCCCCTCAGACAAACCACAGCTCTGTCCCGTGCCCTGCTCCACCCTGGCTGGGCAGCACCTGCCCCAGCCCCACTCCCTTCCTCGCTGCGGAGACCTCAGTCTGCATCCGACACCCCTTCCCCCAACAGACTTACCAGCTGCTCTCCAAGCTGTTGTGCTCCATATCAGCAGCTGGATCAGTATCCACTGATATGACTTGTTAATAATTGGCCATCAGTATCAGCCCAAAGGATCTTTATTGATGCACCCCTAATATTTGGTATTGAGAAACTGCTTCTCCAAAAGATGCATCTCAAAATGAAGACAAATTTACTGTTACAAGTTATTACAATTGTAGTAGTTCTATAATGTCTACTATCTCTCCATATTGTACACTCGCTATTTAAATCTGTAACACTGTTCTTTGCCACAATCGGTATTTTTATGAACTGGGATTTGCATCCCTAACAAATATTACTCAATTCAAGTTATTTCAGCAACGCTACTTACTACTATGCTTCTCTTACACAGTTTAATGCTCTATTATTAGAGTATCCTTGATACTCTACTGCAAACAGAGAAGCTGAACAAAAGGACAATAAAACATGGCTGTACATGCAGTGGGGGTTTTATGATGAGCAGTTTGTTTTAATAACAAAGTCAATTTAATATGAACAATATATAAAAATAAATATTAAGAGAAATCAACTGAATACTTTATGTCGTTTCAGTGACCCATGCAAACAGTTGATAAAATGAATACACTACATCTGAAATATATAAAGAATAATACTTTGTTTATACAACTTAATTAAAAACAACATAATTCACTGACACAGGATATTAAACTCACTAGCTTAGTAATATTCAGGAAAAAAAATGTTGGTCCTATTCATAAGAATATCATCTCCAGTTCACTACTAATTGTTAGGATACAATAACATATTTTCCTCACATATAATCTGCACCTTTTCCCCAAAAACCAGCTTCAGAGAATTGGGGTGCACATTATATATACAAGGAAAAGAGCTT